GGAAGTCAACATCAGTATTTCATTCAGAACACCTGACTCACACTGCCAGGATTCGATTTCTTCTGGGCACTAATCCACATATTGATAAGAGGGTTCTGAGCCCAAGGTACATTGTTATATGGAGTTGGAAGATGGATTTAAAAATCACTACTGACAGCACATTTTTATGTTAGCAAATTTTCGTCAGGACCCTATCTGCATAACTTGGGTTGAAGACACCTATGTCCTGGGAATCCCCTGACTCCTACAGAATAAAGCTTGGGATAAGCAAAAACATCTTGGAACCGAAGACAGGAGGAAACACAGAAACGGGGAGAGAATGAGTGCATTTGTGAGCACTGGTCCGGAACAGGCAGGTTGAGGGGCCGGACTGTCAACTGAGTGAAATCTCAATTACAGAGTAATCTAACGTATACCCAGGTACATTATCGCAACTCAATAAAGAGCTCTTCAGAATTAAGTAATTCCAATTTGCTTTCGTTCTGATCTGTGTTGCCCCGAGAATTTGATATTACCTACACTCAAATTACATGGCATCTTCTAAAGCCCAGATGCTCACAATCCCAGGATAGCACATGAACCATAAGCCAGCCAGCCATAAACACACAGACTGAGAGAGAGACATTGCTCGACGTGGTGCAAGCACCGGCTATGGATACCGTCAGAGGGGCCCCTATCCAGCTCCTGATGCCCTGTGACCTCCCAGCCCCAGTATGCCCGCGTTCTGAATGGATGAGGCCATGTGGTCAGATGGCGGAGCCCCAGAAGGACCAGCTAACTTCTCCTTAGTTCCCAGATTTCCTGGCTCACCAGTGGTGGATAGAGGAGGGGACACAGGGAGCCTGGCCTAGCATGGACCCCATGACACAAACTTCCCAAGCCCACAGGTCAACACCCACTTTTATATTTCCACCCTCCCTTTCCCTATGCTTGGCACAGGACTGTATGGGGAGAGACCACCAGTGGCCCTCTGCAGGGGAGGACCACCACCCAAGCCCTTCACCATCTCTTAACCTCCTTACCTGGGAAATTACACCAACCTCGGCAAGTTATTTTTTTAACAAACGCTTCTAGGGCAATGGGCCAAGCACTGCTCTAAGAAACTCTACACACACTGTCTTCTTGAATCCTCTGGACACACACCACTCTGAGGTATGGAATCCTATATTCCCATTTCCAGATGAGCCAGTTGATGCTGGAAGAGGTTTGATGTTCAAGGTCACAGAGCTGCGACGAGATGGGGCCAGGATTTAAACCCACATATCGGGGCTCTAGAGTTCTTTCCTGTCTCTGAATTGGAATGAAGTGAAGAAAATCTGGGGAAAAACCTGCCCAGGGGTGGTTTTCCTTCTGTGACATGCTCAGGTCAGCTGCCTGCCCCCCAGCCCACATCGACCTGTGTGATGTGTAAACCAGGAGTAAGAAACTCAATTTGAACAGCAGCACCATCCCCTGGGAGAAGACTTAGCCCTTGAGAACACTTTCGTTTTGTTCTTCCAAATTTCCTCCATTTCCTGAAAGAAGGAAGATTTATGTTTATTCCTTGTTGTTTTTTTTTTTAACAAGTGCAAATATTTCAGTACTAAAGTATCTGACCGTCCTGCTAAGTCATGGCAAGGAGCTCTAAGGGGCCAATGAGTCATTCTTCATAAGACACTTTCCCCCACATGCTCTGGTTTGCTGCCTTCCCATGGGCTCCTGGCCAGACATCCAGGGCGACAGGCCTCCTCTGATGAGGATTCCACTGATTCCTGCTGCTCTGGGCATCCCCTGCCTTTCATTTTCTTATTTGGCTTGGTTACCACTAGCTATGGGTGTGTGTGTGTGTGTGTGTGTGTGTGTGTGTGTAAAAAGGGTTAAATTCATTTCTTTGGGAACCTAGAAGGTAGTAAATACTCCATTCCAGAGACGTGGAGAGCAATTTAGCAACAGGTCCAGAGATTTGTCATGAGCTTTGCATGCAGTCTGGACCCTTTCAACACTGTTTATAACATCATGATACCAGGTGCCAACAAGGCTGCACGTGGCCAGTGTACTGCTCCCCCCAGCCCGAACCCCAGCCCAGGGTGCAGAGCCCACAAAGGATAAACCACTGTCCCAATAAACCCTGGCCACCCCTCCAAACAAAGGCAATGATGCTTCCCCATGGAAATGGCATCCTCGGCCTCAAAGCCCTCCGGATTTGGCATCCCACACCTCCTCCTCCTCAACAAGGGATGTAAAGGAAGAATAAACCCAGCTTTCTGGTTCCACTGGTCTGTGTGGAAAGATCAGAGCACTCCGGCAGTGGCCACAGTCACTCATCCCGTTATCTCCTTACCAGCCTCACGCCGGGCACCTGCAAGCTGCGGGTGAGCCCGCGGAGGGAGTGAGGGGATACAGTCCAACCTCTGGTGGGTTCCCACTCCAGTGTGTGAGGCTACCACGGAAGAGGTACGATGAACTGCCAGAGGGGGCAGCTCTGGAAATCACAGATTCACTGAGTGCCTGAGAGGCCTGCAAAAGGCTGCTTCATCACAGAAGTCAATCTAACGGCCCCAAAAAAGCAAATATATGAGCCTAATGCAATGGAAATGATGGTTTCTTTTACATATTAATGGCTCTCAATGTAAACGATTTTAAGATGGGTTTTTTTTTTTCCCTATTGGTTGTTTTGTTCATGACTGCTTAATTTGTTGATCTTCAGCTTAAGTGTTCATGGTATTATGGAGATGAAATGAGTTCCTCCTGAGGCTAATAATTCATTCACTCATCCATCATTCAACAAGTATTTTAAGGTTCAGCCTTATGAAATGACCAACCGCACAGGACCAAACAGCTAAACGCCGGTGGTTTCATATGTGGGCGTGCTTGGGACGCATGCCAAGCACTCGGCTAAGCCTGGGTGGACTTGTACAACATGAACCAAACCAAACAATGCCCCTATTCTCACAGTGCTCGTGTTCTAAAGGACAAGATGGAAAATTACCAAGAACACACACGAATAAAGGAAAAATGTAATTTTGAAGTGCAGTGCTATGTTGAACAAGGGACAAGGTGACCTGATAGAAAGCATCTAGCTGGGGTGGGGGCTGGGGATATCCCCTTGAAGGAGATGGCATGACGACATTCAAGCTAAGACCTGACTGATGACAAACGGTCAGCCATGTGAATATCCATCTAGAGTCAGGACAACCCAGGAGGGAGAATCTCAGACTAAAGCTCCCACCCCCCACCACCCCAGCAACCCTCAGTTTGTTTCCTGAGATGAAGAATTCCTCGTATCAGTGAGGTCATATGATACATGTCCTTCTCTGATTGACTTATTTCGCTTAGCATCATACCCTCTAGTTCCATCCACGTCATTGCAAATGGCAAGATTTCATTTTTTTTGATGGTGGGGGGTGGGAGGGATGGGGTGTCTGGGTGATGGACACTGGGGAAGGTTATGTGCTACATACAGTGAGTGCTGTGAATTGTGTAAGACTGATGAATCACAGACCTGTACCTCTGAAACAAATTATATGTTAAAAAAAAAAAGATAGTCGGAAGGGAAAAATGAAGGGGGGGAAATCGGAGGGGGAGATGAACCATGAGAGACTATGGACTCTGAGAAACAAACTGAGGGTTCTAGAGGGGAGGGGGGTAGGGGGATGGGTTAGCCTGGTGATGGGTATTCAAGAGGGCACGTTCTGCGTGGAGCACTGGGTGTTATGCATAAACAATGAATCATGGAACACTACATCAAAAACTAATGATGTAATGTATGGTAATTAACACAACATAATAAAATAAAATTAAAAAAAAAAGGTTACAGCTCCCAGTCTAGGTTCAGGCAGGGCTACCAACTAGAGGTTAAGGGGCCAGCAACTAGAGGTCAAGGCCCTCACAGCAACCCTTTGACCAAGGAAACCGACTCAGGAGACTTCCGGGGAAAGGGGGGGAGGGGGCGTCGATCCATGTTTTCACCTTCATACACACCAGGTGTCATTCCACAGCTAACATAGGAGGAATAGCTTCATTATTTCATTCACTAAAGTAATGCTATGTTAAAATTTTAATCGGTGAACATAACGCTAGAAAATGAGTACATCCATACACTGCAATTTTCCAGTGTAAACTGTCAAACCCATTTTTTTTTTTTTTTGCAAAAGCAATATTGCAACACAAAGAAAAATCCATAAAGATGCTGGTATTCTTTGGCCTACCAACTCTACGCCTAGGGAATTTATCCAAGGAAATAATTTGGTTCAATAGAATAAAAATATTCTCTTTGGAAGAACTCCATTGAGGTGTTAATTGATGCAGAGGAAAGATAAAACAAAAACCAAAAACACCTGGAATTACCTAAATGACTACAAATAGGGAGATTTTAAGAAATGGGGGGACTTGCTTGATGAAACAGTATACAACCATTAAGCATGACAACAGAGATTATCTAGACTTTCAAAACTAAATGGGATATCCAGCCCTTGGAAGGAGCAGAAAAGGCAACAACAATGTGCATATTTTAATGTAAAGCATGTTGACAATACCTCAAGGTGAACAAGAACAAGAAAACTGGAAAGAATTGAATCAAAGCCAGTGGGCTGGGGGGGGGGGGGATTTCGAAAAACCTTCCAAAATATTGTCATCAAATCGCGTTTTCAGTTAAAAAAAAAAAAAATCCCTCAGAAACAATTGTACACTCTCCGAACACGGCAGAAGACCACCACCAAAACACAAGGACGTTGGTTCAAAGTTTAAATGCAAAATAAAGCCAAACCTGGAGATGCCTTCCATGTTGTATACCCCAGAGGCTCCCACAGGTGGACCCTATAATAAGACTCAACTTGTTGAATAACAATGCAATATGCATGATTTTACAGTAACTCTGCCCCTTTCTCTGCAGGGTGGGAGTAGGGGACTGGAAAGGGTGTGTCTTTCCACTGAGATGAGAAGGGGCACCTGGATTCCTCCCACCCTCTGAGGGTGGGGCCGAGGCAGCCCGTGGGATCAGCCCTGTGGGAGGGGCCACTCACCTTTCACAATCAGCTCAGCATAGTTGGACACACCGGAACCGCCGTCAGAACGGATCACACAGCGGTACTTGCTCACACTCCGATGGGCGGTGTCGGCCACACTGACCGTGGCTGAGAAGCGTCTGTGGTTGACCACGCGAGTGACCATGAGGGCTGTGTCCCTGCCGTTCCATTGCTGCAGGACAGAGGGAGGGAGGGGGAGGAGAAATCACATCACCTTACGGCCCCCAGGGACTCCCCACTCGGAAGCTCCACCTGTCCCCACATCCCTGGGGCCATGGCTTTCCATAAGGAGTATCCACGGCTGGCTTTTCCAAGTGATCTGACTCAAGTATAAACTTTGCTAGCGAGCTGATTCTGGAGGGCAGTGCCTGATGGTAAGAAGAGAGGGCACGGGCCTCCTCCCGACACCTTGGTTCCCTGCTTGGCCTGAGCTTGAGGCTGGCATTTGGCCCTGAGCCCTCCTCCCATCTTCCTTCATCTCTTACACAGAACCCACAAGGTTCCCCCAGAGAGAGACTCAGATAGGCTACTGAAAACATAACCCATGAAGTGACAATAAACAGCCTGGCCCTCAGCCCATGGCTGGCGCCCTGATACCCCACCCACAGGCCCTGAGGGACCCGTCTGTCTCCAGGCGTGGTGTGGATGGTGGTTTCCCAGCACCTCTCCTTTTTCCTCAGCCTGGGACCTCCCGTCTGCCTGGGGTCAGTCCCTCACCCCTAAAACCTCATGCTCAGCACATCGCCATCTCCGGTAAGTTCGCCTGTCACACCACCTTCTAGAAGCTATTTACTCTCTACTGGTCTTGTTGTGGTTTCGGGGTTTTTGTTTGTTTGCTTTTTTGCCTACACGTTTCCCCCTTTAGACTAGACTCGGAGCTCTCCGAGGGCATCCTTTAGCCCCTTTTCATCTCCAGCACTGTGCCCAATTTCCCAACTTGGTAAACAATTCTAGAATCAAGGTGAATGCACAAGCGTTTTCATCTATACTGTGCTGAATCTCAGGTGTGATAGTCTGAGTCTGAATGAGCCCCTTCTGTAGCAGCAGCAAGCAATGACAACTGGTAAGGTACATGCCTGAGGATGCAACCTGAGTGACTATTAAGCACCTTCTATGAGCCAGACCCTGAATCTCCTTTTTAATCCTCCCAGCCTTGTTTGAGGTATTACTGCTGCTCTTCTTAGCAGAATCCAAATGTCAGTGTGGCTGAGTAAATATGCAGAGCAAGGAAGTCCCTTATCCAGCTTTTCCAACTTCGGGTCAAGCATCTTTTCACTGAGACCCTATCCTCACTGCCTTTATTTCGTTTCCGAAAGTAAAATTGAGTGCTTTAATTACCTAGTTGGATTTCGGGAAACTTGAGGATTTAGGAGCTTCTCCACAACTGGAAACTTCCACGATGCGATCTTCATCCCTTCCTGTCCACAGTAAACACCTCCAGCACACACATGACCTGCTTCCACCCATCCACGCTCCCATTAGCGATGGGTCAGGCCTGGGACATGGGACGGGGCAGGGCTCCAGGGCTCAGCTGTCCCAGGCCAATGAGATGGAACAGCAGGGAGGGCCGGGAGCAAACAGCCAAGAAACATGGGGAAACCTAGGCCTCTGTGTGACTTGCTCCAGACTGGACAGGGAGATTGGAGGGGCTGGCTTTCCTCTTTTTACTTTTTGGCATTCTCTAGACTTTCTGCCTCAAACACTGCTTTTATACTTGAAAAGAATAAAGGAACTAAAGGAAATACCAGACTTAAAAGCATGGCAAGAGGAGGGGCAACCATCACCCCTTCCCATTCCAGAAACTCTGCAACAGGACGGCACAAGATCAATGCAAGGGAACTGAAGGGAGAAGTCACTGGGGCGGAAACTGCCCACCACCTGCCTCATGCTCGGATACGTTTTTGCAAGAGATGGTACAACTCGCTCAGACTCTGAGAACTGACGACCCCAGACACGATCCCCTCTCCCAAAATATGCAGTCAGGAAGTAGAGGAAATTCTGGCAAATGCCAGGAATGTGACCTGATCTGAGGAAAAGTTGGCTGAAGGCACAGAAAGGTCTCAGAAGAGATGGGTCACCAAAACAAGCCCATTTTCTCCTCACTGCTGAGCAGTCCCTTTCACACCTGGGAAGGGAGCGTTGAGGCTCTGGCTGGGTATTTTCTAACCTGATTTTTTATAACATCATAAAGATTTTGATCTTTCTTAAGTTGACAGTGACTAAGCACTACTGTGGGCTAAGTGTTTTACATTCCTTCTTCATTAATTCCCCACAAAAATCTGTGAGGGGGGCCCACTTCTTATCTCCATTGTATATACAAGGAAGCTGAAGCTCAGAGAAGTGATCTGCCTGCCCAGGCTTGTACAGCTTGGAAGTGGCAGAGCTGGGATTTGAATGCAGGCCACCAGGCATCAGGACTTTGCCCAAAGATACCATGTGGTGCTCTAATGTGGGGTAACTACTCCCCACCCCACACCTCCTCTAGCACACTCATTCCCACATGTGGAGAAGAGAGTGGCCAAGAGCTACCTACGCACCACCAATTTCTTAGCTGAGGATCGCACCCCCCCCCTCCAAAAAAGGAAAGACAGGTAGAGGAAGCAAAAATGCCGGACGTCCCAGCCAGACAGTTCCTCAGACACAAGGCTTTTCCTCAGACCTCCAATGCTTTGAACAGCCAATAAATTTATTTGGGAGATAAAAAGGAAGACACCAAGCATGAAGCCAGCACATGAACTCTACAGACCATCATCTAAGAGGTGAGTGGAGAAGGAAAAGTACTAAGAAAGAAAATAAACCTCAAAAGAATTACAGGAAACAAACAAGGGCACCATTTGCAGGATTCAAAATGGTGCTAGAAGTGAACGGCAGACTCAACACTGCAGAAGAGCACTGACAGCTGGAGGCAGGGGTGGGGGGAGACGTTAGAAAATAACCCAGATTTCCAAGAAGGCACCAATAAAAGGAGAGGAGGGAGGCAAATTGAGGAAGAAAACAGAGATCAGACAAGTATTTGGTACGCCTAAAGATGGGAGCTTAGGGAATGGAACACAAATCCTGTCCTAAGTCACATCAGCTCACTTGCCTGGATGAAAACAAGACCCAAACCCTTAGACTGAAATGGCCTACCATTCACTTGACAAAATTTAAGAAAACCACAACAATTGAGGTACGCATTTTACTTCACAAAAATATTAGATGTTAAGGATAAAGAAGCATGTAAAAATCTAGGCAGAAAAAAAATACTGTGCTCAAAACGCCTCATCTGCAACTGCTCCCAAAGCCCAGACAACCTCTCTCCTGGATGTGGCTGGTCCCCCAGTGGTCACAGCTGAGCTCCCAGGAGGCTAGATACTTGAGAGAGGCCAGGGCAGGAGCTAGGGAAACATGGGACAGGGAATGATAATAAAACAAAAGCACACAAATGCCCAATATGTGCAGCCTTGGGCCCTGATTCCATTTCTCTCAGCTTTGGTTTCCTTACACCATTAATGGATGTGATACTGGTGCCCACTTTATGAAGTTCTCGTGATGCATAAATGAGAAAGTGTCCAGAGCACTGAGCCCATGACGGCGTATCCTGGTGTGAACTGAGCTCTCCAAATCAACCACGAAATTAACCATGAAAAGTGGGGTAGGGATAATGCTCCCCCCCCGACAATGTCCATATGCTAATCCCTGGAACCTGGGAATATGTCACCTTCTATGGTGAAAGGGACTTTGAAGATGCTGATTAGGCTCAGGATCTGGAGATTTGGAGAGGATCCTAGATGATGCAGGTGGGCTCAATGTAATCACAACGGGCCTCATATGAGAAAGACAGAGGAGGGTCAGAGTCAGAGACAGGACATGTGGTGACAGAAGCAGAGGTCAAAGTGATGTGACAGGTGGCTTGAAGATGGAGAAAGGAACCAGAACCAAAGAATGCAGACAGCTTCCAGAAGCTGAGAAAGGTAAGGGAGCATATTCTCCGCTAGAGCCTCTAGAAGGAATGCAGCCTGGCCAACACCTCCATCTAACCCTGTAAGATTCATTTCTGACCTCTGATCTCTACCACCGCAACGTAATAAATTTGTGTTGTTTTAAGCCACTAAGTCTAATTTGTTACATCAGCCATAAGAAACTAACAAACAGCAAAGAGCCAATTAAGTGCAAAACATTCATTTTTTCATCTTTAGTTTAAATTTTTTTGGGTGCCTGGGGGGCTCAGTCGGTTAAGTGTCTGCCTTCGGCTCAGGTCATGATCCCAGGGTCCTGGGATTGAGTCCTGCATCAGGCTCCCTGCTCAGCTGGGGAGCCTGCTTCTCCCTCTCCCTCTGCCTGACACTCCCCCTGCTTGTGTGCTATCAAATAAATAAAATCTTTAAAAAATTTTATTTTGATGTGACTTCCAGTATTATTTGCTTTTCTTCTTAATGATGTCACATTCCAGCAAAAACACAGAGGAGTAATGCATCCCCTGAACCATTCACATTTTTCTCTTTAGTTCCTGAACCACCAAGCTTTCTCCCACTGAAGGATAGGAAATTGCAGGTTGTCTTATAAAATCTCTGGAAAATAGGTCTTTGGATAATCACACTTGTCATATTGGGAGCAGGCAAGAGCAGGACAGGAACGTGGAGAGCCCACAGCCATGATAAGAAATGGCACTGCGATGGACCACCGGCAAGGAGAAATGAAGGTTAAGTTAGAGAGATGAGCTCAGACGAAAGGGCAAGTAGGTGATGAAGGTCAAGGCAAATGAGCAGCAACCGAGGAACCAAGATCAGGAGAGATTCTAGAAGACCAGGCACAGTGACAGGCTCAGCGACCAGAATGCCATAGCAACGTGAAGGGATTTAACCAGAAGGACTGTGTAAGCAGCACAAGTTCCAACCATGGTCTCAGCCCCAGACACAGGCAGGAAGGAAAATGCAAGGGGAGGTTTCATCAAGCAGGAACAGACCCAGGAATTCCAGGTTCACAGGCAACTGAGCGGGTCTGAGTGGGCATAAGGAGGGGTGGAGCGGGCAGGGTGTCGGGAGCCCGAAATGGACTGCAGCCCAGAGACAAGGTGGAAGAGTAAATCCTCCCAAGACGCCAGGTGCCACGTACATGCTTGGGGATACAAATGCTAGGATGCGAGGAAAAAGGAGCAGAAAAGCTAAGAGAAGTCAAAGTCCTGGAAAAAGC